ATTTTGACGGAGCTGGCATCATGGAGGTTTTGGAAATCATTTCTTGCAGACTGCATTGCCCTTCCAATCCTAGAAGTAATTTCTCATAGACTACACATTGACTCTCTGATCCCTGCATTAACTCTCTGGTCCCTTGAATATCGGGTTGTATGAGGTTTTGAGGGAAATAATCGAGGGGGTAGATGAGTTGTCAGAGTTCAGGAAGGTCTTACTTAGGTGGTCGTTGAGGGAGTTCTTGATGGAGGACATTGTGATATCCTCAGGACGGGCAAGGGTAGGTTCGGCAGGAGTCTGACTTCCGTCGTCTCCTGAAAATAGGCGTATTATTCAACTTACCCCAAAAGAATCAGATTTCTGTTTTTACTCACATTTTTCGAATAGAACACCTCTTTGAATATAACACCCGGGCATTATGTTCAACTAGAGCGCCCTGATGTTATGTTCGAATAGAGCGCCCGCCGTTATGTTCAAATAGAGCGGCCCGGCGTTATGTTCGAATAGAACGCCCACACAGAGTGCTTGTAGAGGAAGTATACATGGGTTTTCAAGGTGGGGAAGGGGGGTTTGAAAGGGGGTTGAAAGGGTTCCCCCCCCCCCCGCCTTTGTTCTTGCAGAGTGGCCATGCTAATTTTCTCTGTATTGTTTGAATTGAAACGGTTTTCACCTTTTAGCAGTAGCGAATGCAGGTCCCAGGGCTCGATCCCTAGTTCTCACCTTACCTGTGTACAGTATCTGTGTCGACCCCGAGTGTTTGAACCCGTGACCTGTGTTTTGACAGTTGTTGTTGTCTGTCGTAGGTCTGTGTAGTGGTAGGGGTTCGATCTGTAGGTCTGTCGAGTAGGAGTCACAGCCCTGTAGAGGTCGTAGCTGTAGGGATCCTGAAAGGTCAAGGTCGTAGCTGCTACAGTCCTGAGAAGTCAAGGTCGTAGCTGCTACAGTACTCGAAAGGCCAAGTGCACGAACTTCCGGAAGGTCCGGAAGTGGCCTTTCGGAGCTGCTCACGTTTGAGACAGAGGCAAGTGGGCAAGTGGTGGAGTCTACCCGCGCTGAGTCAGCAGTCCCAGTCAGTCCTAGTCCAGTCCAGCAAGTACCGTACGGGACTGTGTGCACCACGGGCATGGAAAAGGGCCAGACCAACGAGCTACAGAAGTATAAATTGAGAGGCAGCGACCAGCCATTCATTCATTTCCTACGTAAGCCATGCGGAAGCGCTGCCATAGCGACTTGTGCGAGGTGGTCTGCAGTGAGCCCGAGGACGAAGTGGGCGAGAAGAAGCTTTAGCCATATCGATAGGGTTGCAGCGGCCATAGCCGCCATAGCTGTAGATGTGTGCGTGTGTGTGTGAGTGTACAGAGTGTGATGTGTGTGGGATATCCAGGGTGATCCTGTGTGCGAACAGCAGTGTCGAGTAAGTGACGAACAGAGAGTTGTACAGGCGATGTGCCGCCATAGCCAGTTGAAGTGAACTTGTATCTAAGCTGCGTTCTGGGTTACCATATCTCTGAGTTCTGAGTGGGCACTTGACGCCAGTTGCTGCGCAACCTGTTTGCATGCATGTGAAGTGTGAATGAAAGCGAGTCTGATTGCAGAATTTAAAGGGATATCCCGGAGGACAGGTTGAAAGGGGTTTTGACTTACAAGGGTATATTTTCGTTTGATTTTTTGCTTCGGTTTTCTATTTCCAAATTTATAAAGGAATTCTGAAGTGCCCCTCAGCCAAAAGTCGGTTGCATTTGGCAATTCTAGACAACATATTGTTTTTACGGCTTACTGAATATGATGCCCGGGCATTATAAACATGAAGACGTCAGTGTCAGTATCTGCTGCAGCACCCATATCTCTTGCTGTGTATCCTCTGGCCATGGAGATGGGCGATTGGGACCGGGGGTATAGGGTATGGAAGGAAAATGGGAAAATCTGAACAAACTTGTTGCAGTAAATATACAATTTGGAAATTTCCAAACTTTTAGAGTGATGATCTGCCAGCCGTTTGGGACATCTGTTAAAATTGGAACAAGTTTGAGAAACCACACAGAGAAGATTAGCATGGCCCCTGTTCAAGGATGACACGCATATATCGAGGGAAAAAAGAATGATGATCCACCAGACTTTGGGAACATTGAAGAGTGGTGACAATGTTAACAATTCTGCTGGCAAGGCGAATGTTGTTCATGGGTGTTGTAACGAAGGCGATGGTGAGGACAATGATGGTGGGCAATGCTGAATGCGAAGCTCGAATGTTGGGAGATCCTGGTTCAGTGGGATTTAAAGGAGCTCGCCGTTCAGCCAATTATTATGCTGCTAAAGGTACTGCTGAGAATGTAGCGCGTGCTGCTATTTGATTAGGAATTATAAGTCAGTTGAAGTGAGAATCAAAGGTTTAGGTTATGGAAAGCCTGGTCAGCTCACAATGCAAAACAAAGATGAGAGTATGCCATTCATTGCAACTGTC